AGCATGACATAAGCGATTACGTACTTGCTTGAGCAATTATTACGTCAAATGAATAGTATTCAACTTTAATCTTATCTCGTTGTTTTTGTTTTCTTAATGATTAATGTTCGCATGTTAGAGTTATATAATGTGAAAAAATAGTATAACTAAAGAGAAAGAGGTATTACACAATTAAATATATCAATATACATATTTATGTAGTATAGGATTTGTATAATTATATGGATTTTTTAAATGTTACCATCTATTTTATCAAAATTCTCTTAAATCCATTTTAATCAATTTATTACATTAATCATTGCAATTAAGATGTATCATAATTTAATTAAAATAAAATTTATTTGAAGTCGATTAAAGAATAATAAAGTTTTGTCATTTATTTGCATTTCTGGCACTTGATTAGTAAACCATTTTCATTGTGATTTATATCATTTGCTATAAATTATTTATATATTATTAAAATTATATGTGTTCCTCATAAGTTCAGTCATTAAACGTCCATCTAATAATGGGCGAATTTGATTCTGAGAAAACCGCGGAAAACATTTCTGAGAAAACTCATCAAGGTGAAATATGGCCGATGTCATTTGATGACCACAAGTACTTACGTACGCGATCGCGGCACGCCACAGACGCGTCGTAAATTTCTCGCAAATACCGCAACTCGATCACGTTCGACGGGATCTCAACGCGGAATGTACGTATGCCGTTGACCAAAAGGGAAAAGGGAAAAGCGGCTTCCCATTACGCTCTTAATTGAAACAGCTCTTAACTCAAACGTATAGGAGAATGCGCGCTCGTCTTAAATATTGACGGATATGAAGAAAAAAACGACGGTAAAGCGGGCGGGGAATAAACGGCGGAAGGGGTGGCGTGATGAAGGAAAGGGTAGAAAGGCCGGAATGAGTGGGAGGGAGCTGTTTAAAAAGAGACACAAAGGAAACGTGATAAATCTCGCTGCGAACAATAAGTTATCGTAAAGAATCGTTTTCGCGTATCGTGACACGGCGGGAAGAACAATGATTTGTCGGGAAAATTCTCCAATTCCAATTCCAGTTCCAATTTCAGAAATGGCCCTAAAGACACCGGCATGGCTGAATCTATGCTTCGTAGAGAAGATCCTGCGAAAGTCGGAAGGCGACAACTCAATTCAGGTGATCGATATATTCTCGAAACCGGCCACGGCTAAGGGTGACAACTACTCAAGCGACATGATTAGGGTTACTGCCGAATTTTCGCGTGACCAAGGCGAGAGTAAAATTACGGAGAAGAAATCAATCATTTTCAAAATCTCGCCTATAGCTGAAGGCATTCGTCAGGACCTCGTAAGTTGATTCAACTAATATAATATTTCTAATACAAATAAATCAAATTAAGTGGCAGATTCTACTATTTCGAAGTAGATTTTTAATCAATAAAAAGATCAGGACAATTATTTTTGAGGCAATCAGTGATTGAAAATCAAATTATTTTTATCAAGTTCAAAGAGGTACATATACATTTAGAAGAAAAGTATATGCTTCAGACATTTTAAAATCAATTTTGATTTGCGGAATAAAATTATTATTTATTTATCATTTCTGAGAAACATAAACTTTTTATTTAAATCCTTACATCACAAAACTAATTGCATGCTTGTTTGATTTTAAAAGATTTTATTTCTTAAATAAACTTTTTACAGGTCGAATTATCAGGCACCTTTGACATCGAGATATTGATGATGTCAGATACCTTGGATAAAATGAATAAGTTGTTAGGGCCGGAGCATCGCTTAAGCGGGAAGGGCCTATACGTGCAAAATAAAAATCCAACGCTTCTGGTGATCGAGGATCTCGCGCCTCTCGGCTTTCGCATGGCCGATCGTATATCTGGTCTTGACCTAGCTCATACCATATTGGCGCTTGACGGACTAGCCAGGTTTCACGCAGCTTCTGTAGCCATATGCGAGAAGGTAAATCACTACGCGTGACTCACTTGCTTTTAGCTTAAATGGACACGTATGTGCCTAACCAATTGTAAGCAGTATAAGTCCTTCTACATTTACGAAATCATAATTTGTAATTATGTATGTAATTATGTAAATATGTATAATTTGTAATTATGTAAATATGTATATGTAATGTAATTTATATTGAAATTTACATTAAGAAATTGTAACAAATAGTCCTCCTTGTAACTATCTTCAAAAAAAAATGTTCTCTAAATTTGTTAAGAAATCACATGTTATTGACATTAATGTCGCAGATTTTTTTCTATAGCCTCATGTATACATATAACGTTCCAAATTTCCAGTCCACACTACAAACTTATTTACTAAATTTTATAATTAAATGAATAAATATCAATGTTCTTTGATAAAAATATTTTAATATCTAGGAACCAAAGCAAAAAGAAATGTATACGAAAGGAATATTTAACGATCAGTGGCCGCCAGAACTGCAAACTTTTTTCGTTATGAGTATTAAAGCTTTAGCAGATGAAGTTGCAAATTGGCCAGGAATGAAAAAGTAAGATTTACATGAATAAACACAATATTTATTAATCTAATTCTTAATGTTTAAGATAACATAAATAAACATAATAAGCAGAAACTGGCAAATACATATAGAAACACAAATTGTTGTTTAGAATATACAGGAAATATTTATGATTTTTCCATAATTTTATAAAATTCCATGTTTATGTGACTTTTATTTATTATAGATACTCGGAAAAAATTGCTAAACTCACCGACCACGCATATAAAATAGGAATAGATGCATCCAAGTTATGTGAGGATGAATTCAATGTTATTAATCACGGCGATTTCTGGGTAAACAATATGTTGTTCAAATATGACAATGATGGCAAACCTGTTCAGCACATTTGTGTAAGTACCACCACATTGTAAAAAAATTATGTATTTCCTTTGAATACAAGCTTATTGATTTATTTATTATTATAATCACGATTGAAATTTAAGATTGAATGACGAAATTCGTGAAATCTAATTTGTACCTGCATGTAATGACATAATTTATATTGTTGAAACAGCGTATTTACTTTAAAACTATACCTATCTTAAAATATTAATTTTGAAAAATGTAAAGCATCGTGACTATAAATTAAATATAAATAGGTATAGCATCGTTTAGTCACTTTGTTTTAATTATCTATATTTCTGAATTTTTATTATCATTTTCGTAGTTGAATGCAATGTAAGTTGCAGTTAAATGCAAAATAAATTTACATAAAAATTAACAAAATAAATAAGACATAAATATATAATATTCCGAAAAGTATACGGTATATGTTAAGGGGTTAGTCTACTCTAATTCGGGCAGAAACAGGCGAATTTTCAGGAATTAATTTCAGACAAAATATTGGTGATACATGAATAATTTTTTTTTTCATTATCTTTATTAGGGTTTCAAGAACATGTACAAATTTTTTGGTGTAAAAAAATTTCAAAATGGCGATGAGGCACTTTTTCGCGCGCAACTATGCTTTTCAGACGGTGTACATGGTTTCTGAAATGTGGGTGGTCTGAAAAAAAAAAATATATGGTCATTAGCTATATTGTATTGCCTTCGGAATGACGGAGCTTTTTTTCTCTCCTCGTTTTTGGCGTCAAGAAAAAAATTCTTGAATTTTTCACTGCATTTTTGAAAAATTCAGGAATTTTTTTCTTGACGCCAAAAACGAGGAGAGAAAAAAAAGCTCCGTCATTCCGAAGACAATACAATATAGTTAACAATTATATATATTTTTTTTTTCAGACCACCCACATTTCAGAAACCATGTACACCGTCTGAAAAGCATAGTTGCGCGCGAAAAAGTGCCTCATCGCCATTTTGAAATTTTTTTACACCAAAAAATTTGTACATGTTCTTGAAACCCCAATAAAGATAATGAAAAAAAAATCATTCATGTATCACCGATATTTTGTCTAAAATTAATTCCTGAAAATTCGCCTGTTTCTGCCCGATCTAGAGTAGACTAACCCCTTAACGCATTTTAATAATGATTCGCAATATCGACTTTAGCGATCAAGACAAAGAGGCAGCGCTCTAATATGAGATACTTGAAACTGCAGTATATTATGAATAATGCATAAATCCAGTTTGATCACATTCAGGTACATCCGCCACCTGTCTGCCGGTGTCATTCGCGCGAACTCTCAACTTTCTCGCCGCGACTTCTTAAACACGAGTCCCACTTCTTTCCCGGGGCACGGAATTCATTTCCAATTCAATTGCCAGGAGCTTAAAAAATCGATCGAGCGACACAGAGTTTGTTTGATATTACAGGTGGATTTCCAAACGTGTGTCTACACATCGCCGGCAATCGATCTTCAATATTTTTTCAATACAAGTCCTTCCCCGGATGTTATTGAAAACAAGAGAGATGTTTTATTAAATGAATATCTTGGCGTACTGTCGGCGACTATGAAGCAACTGGGCTGCAAGACGCAGCCACCCACCATGGAAGAACTGAAAGCTACCCTAAAACGAAGAGCAAGTTATGGAATGATATCATCCTTCTCAATTTTACCGATAGTGCTGTGCTGCAAGACTGAGGTGAAAGATTTGGATGAGATCATGAATCCTGATACTTTTTCAAGTCCGGGTCTAAAGAGCGAGAGTTATAAAAAATTGATGATGAAGAGAATTCCAATGTATGACGAATGGGGTTTGCTGGATCTTTAATGAATACTAGACTTTTGTTGTAATAAATAATGTAGAAAAAATAATAATAATAATAGGCATGACAAAGTACAACAAATACATTAAAATGGAAACAATAGAATAATAGAAATATTGATGCGCTTTAAAAAAAAAGTCATCATGGAATTTATATGATAATGACAGATCTTTTAGTTTGAAAGATCAAAAATTATTCTCTTATGATGTAAAATAATGTTTTCATATATATAATATAAATTAAGAAACTAACGTTATAATTTGTGTTGATGATGTATTTCGTATGTAAGTAATATGCATAAGTGATATGATAGGAAGTTGAAAACGTTTTACAAAATCTGCACATCTCTGATAACAATTTATTAAGTTTGCTGTTTAATTTTAGTGAAACATGCATTTATGTCAGTAATGCAGTTTTTCTCTGCAAAATTCGCCCAACTATGCCCGCAAAATAATGATTTTCTGCTGTTTATTTCATGAAATACCATAAGTAATTGGAATCATTGTTTAGCCACAACAAAGGTTAATTATTCGATAGTGCGCTTAATGTATGACATGAATCGAAATTATTTTCAACAGTGTGGATGATATTATCCAGTTTCATCTAAAATCAATGAAAAGTATAAGTAAAATTTCTTGTTAAAACATTTATAAATCCGGCTACAAAAAATTAGGGTAAAATCGGTGCTTTGTTAAAATAAATTTTAGTAATTAATAACCAATAACCATTAATTATATCGCGTTTTCTGTAAAATAAATTGCATAATAAAATCAAAATAATTCTTATCTTTTTTATTATATCTATATATATTGCTTCCTTGCATCGATTTTTATAATATTTAATCTTGGCTAAAGTATATGGAAAGGAATAAAAGGGCCGTATAAATTATTCAAATCCTAATTCATAATTTTTCCTTATTTGCAGAAATTTTCATTTATTTATTTATTTTATTTTTACACAATATCTTACACTTTTCTGTTTTGTGCAAGAAAAATAATACAAAAATAATTTTATAAAAGATCTAAATAAAAATTTTATATTTTTAAAATCATTACTTTACTTCTTATTTTTTTGTGTTTTTCAAAAATGTAATACTCTAATTGTAAGTAAAATTAACCTACGTAAAAAAATTTTGAAAATTTAACTTACTGTGTAATTTACTAACTTAAATTCGCGAAATAAAATTCTGATTCAATATAATATTTAATTTAGGATTTAAAATTTTATTAAAAAATTATTTATATATAAGAACGCGAAGGTTTATCAACGTAATTCAACGATAATGAGCTCTTTGCGAGCTCTATATGTGTGCGACGTGTGCGAGTATTTCCTCAAGCACAATCGCACAATACATCAATAAACAAGTGACCAAGATTAAATATTTGCCATAATTAGTTTTAGCCCATCCATTTTAAGGCAACGTATCTACGAGATGTAATAAATTTATACTATAATTTATTGTCATAATTCGACATGCACCGAGATTATATTTGCACTATATTTGATTAATCGTAAATTCGTTACCTCAGTAAAAAAAAAATTCCGACTCACCAATTAATCCGATGCGCAACAGGCGGAGTTAATCATACAGCTACGATAATACTGTAACATACAAACATAAAATTCAAATTAAAGAAGCGTTCAAAATGATCAATATTTTAAAAGATAATTCTTACGCGCCTCTAATTCGTCTTTCAATAAAATATTTAGCAATACGTACAATTATTATCTATTTACCGAAAAAGATCTTTTACAAGAAAAAATTTTTAGATAATTTCTCTTTTTCTAATTATTTTTCACTTATCAAAATAAACCAATCTAAATAAATGGAAAAGAATTATTATGCAGATGATATTCACCTCAAGGTTGCTCCGCCGGGGCCCGATGTCTCTCCCAGACCTCCTCCTCCTCTCAGGATGTCAGGCCTCTGGCCTCCTCCTCTCACCGGACACTCGCTAGAAACACTCGCGGATAATTAACTACAATCGCACGCGGACTAATAAATAAAAGTCTTTCTCGCGCGATACTGTACGGCACTCCCGTTTAAAAAAGTCCTTTAGTCCGATTACTTGAACGGCATTCCCGAAGCAAACGCGACGAACCGGCTGCGGTTCGTTCATTCAATTAAATCGGCGGAGACGGAGCAGGGTACGTTAGCTTCCCCGTCTTTGGATTTTTATCCAAGCAGAACGAGAGTTTTGCTTGGGTAAAATCCTCGTACTGGGTACTGAGCCTTCCCACCTCGCCAAAAGGTCGTACCCATGGGAAGGAAATACTTTTACTCTATAATATAAAAGCAGGTAACATAGATTTTTCGCGCGAAGGAGTCGCGATTGCCCCGATTTGTTCCGCGTTTCATCACTGCGTTACAATCGCGTTAATGACGATGAAATGTTGAAAGATCTTGACGCGAGATGCTACGCGAATCAAGTGGACGATTAGTAAAGGCACGTAGTTGATTAAACAAAACCACAATTTAAGATTAAATATCGTACGCACATTACGGTAATGAGCACGTAAATCTCGCGAATGTAATGCACTCAATTATAATGCAGTCAACGTGAAATGGCACCTTTACATTTGCAGATGTAGCACGGACGCGCACCAAAATGATGTTTTATTGATAGTGTCGGAAAATGAACGTCGCTACGTAGTACCAATTTCGAAAATGGCGGTATAATGTACTGGCGGTAGTGTACGGGGGTTTGGCTTTCGACAGTCCCACGGGCCACGAAAAAGGCCGGAATTGGACGGGATGGCCTCTCTTCAGACTCAGGCTTCTCTCTGGCTGAATAGAATTGCCCGTCTCGAGAAATAATATTCCTGGTTACTGTTCGAGCAGTTTTTGCGACCGCGACTTCTTTCCACGATAATCGTGAACGACGAGAGCGAAAATGTTCGCGATTCGCAACGGGCTGAGAAATGCGTCCGGTTTGTCGGGCGTTATTTCCAGGACGTACACTAATTCGATCGTCAGCGCACCGCCCGAAGTAAAAATTTCCACCGCTGTGAGTATAGAAGCTGCTCCGTGTCGTGTGAAATTACATAAGAGAAAGACACAGTTAACCCTAAGCGCGCAGTTAACCCTATACGTTACTTGCATGGGGGAGTAAATACTCCACGACCCTCTTAACCCCTTTAGAAATCTAAATTTACAGCGTAAAACTTTTATATCGATCGTATGCCAATTGCACAAATTGTCTCACAATTAAAGAAAAATTACGCTTATCTTTATCTAGACGATGTAATAAAATATTAACCTTTATTTTATTAGGGGTATTCAAATAAGTTTTTAACAGTTTGACAGGTTATGTCGGGTTAAAGTTAATTAATCGAGTAAAAAGTTAATTAATTAACTTTGGGCGCGCTACTCTTTAAGGTTATGCAAAATACATAAGTGACTCATTAACCTATCACATTAATCTTTGGGTTAAAAGTGTAAAAATTAACTTTTTACCCAACTTTAACCCGACATAACCTGTCAAACCGTTAAACTCTAACTTATTTGAATACCCCTATTGTAAATCATCAAAGAGGACGATGAAAGTTGAGATAATAATATTGTAAGATACATCCCACGCTAGTTGTGGTTTAAATTAAGACAAAAAAACCACGCAAGTAATGTTGGGTTAACCTCCTTCAGTGGAATGTAAAATTGTGAGAGATTCTCCATGTTTTGCCACAAGAATAGTGAGAATTGATTGAAAAATGAGGACTTAATGCGACATAAAATTTGATAGAAAATTTGGCGCAACAATTAATATTTCTTGCAATGGAAATATTAATTGTTTTGGAAATCTCATGCTTGAATACACCACGATTGTCGCTTTCACATAGATTAATCTTATTTCATTTGTAATAATGAGGAAAATTTTTGTTACAGGAAAAGATAGTTTCGTTGTTCTGTATAGCTGGTTCGACATTGTCGATACCCATGTACATGGTTCCGAGATTCAAGAAGTATGGCGAAAAGAAATCTGCTTGAGGAAGTTAAATTGGCGAGGCAGCTTCGAAGAGGATGCCTTGAAAATTAGTTCGCAAATTAGTTATGTTGAAAATATTATTTATGACACGTATCCAATGGCATACGTCAATAAATCTTGGAAGTGCGTCTAAATTGTCAATAAATATTTAAAAATAAAAAAATGTTTTGCGTGATTCGTCACTACAAAATAGGATGGTCATTTGTGTGACTTTTATAGAATGACATCCTTTCCAACCGGGTGTCAATTTGAAATCTGACAAAAATAAAATTCACTTGAAGTGAATGACGTAATTTTGTCGTGACACTCAATCATTGGAGAACTCTGCTTTTTAAAATGTCACGCGGTTGAACGTTTTTACTGGAATAAAAAAAAAATAAATCGAGGTTGACCGGAATCGGTCATCAATTTAACGTGGTAACGAAGGATCAAGTGTCTTAAATTTGAATCTCTAATTCTACACTGAGAAAAAAATGTTGTAAATTTGACTAAACTCGTTTAGTTGTAGTGATTTGTTTAATGCAAATATTAATATATTTAAATCAAATATACGTGAGTAATATCAAGAAATTCTGAATCTATTTAAATATAATATTTTTTGAATTAAAAAAAAATGTTAGCAAATGTTAGCTTGACAGCCCGTGACCACTGCATTTAGTTGAATCAAATAATATTTCTTTGAATCTACGATTTTTTTTTCTCAGTGTAGCTTATTTTTTAAATGAATGAAACGAAAGAATGATTAAAGCTCGCAATCTTTTGAATAATCCGTCATATTAGAAAAACACGATCCGTATATCTTTCTTATGAAAGGTAAAAATTTCTAGAGTAGTTTAAGGTTTGGTTTATTTTGCTAAAAATAACGCATTTGAATAAACTTACTTTTTTATTAATGAAAGCCGTGAACCTACCTGAATTATATATCTGTATGTTTGCATTTGCATACGTAATCCGACTGCCTCGCAGAGAAAAAACTCGGCGACCAACATTTTTCATAAAGATCAATCCTATTTGGATTCGTCTACGTCTTTCAATTTAATCTCTCGCACCTTGCACTTAACAGTGACAAAAAGTAACTTGACGCGTAAACAAAAACACGTTGACTCGCGAAA